TTATAGCCCCGTTCTACCATTTCCTGCTTCTTTTGTGTTCTTTAGCTGTATTTTGACTTATCGAGTTAGTTGGTTCGGATCCCAAGTGGTTTTGGAGTAAATTGAGACACTTAGTCTCTTGTGTGAAGGCTTAAGTTGGGAAAGCTGACCGGATATTGATTTATGTGTAAACAACCTCGGTTTAGAATTTTGATGGTTTTGTTATCTCCGTTAGGTGATTTTGGACTTAGGAGCGTGTCCGGAATATGATTTGGAGGTCCGTGGTAGAATTAGGCATGAATTGGCGAAAGTTGGAATTTTGGCAATTTTGGCCGGCAGTGGAAATTTTAATATCAAGGTCAGAATGGAATTTCGGAAGTTGGAGTAAGTTCGTGGTGTCATTTCTGACTTATGTGCAAAATTTGGGGTCATTCGGACATGATTTGATAGGTTTCGGCGTTGTTTGTGAAATTTGAAAGTTTAGAAGTTCTTAGGCTTGAATTTGAGGGTAATTTGGTGTTTTGATGTTGTTTTGAGTGATTCGAAGGCTTGACTAAGTTTGAATGATGTTATGGGATGTGTTGGTATGTTTGATTGAGGACCCGAGGGCCTCGGGTGAGTTTCGGGTGGTTAACAGAGCATTTTTGGCCTTGAAGAGACTGCTGATAGCTGCTGTATTTTTACTTTTGGTTTCCTTATACGTGATCGCATGAGTACATCCACGATCGCGTAGGCTTATTTGGGGCAGAGGTGAAGTTGTTCTACGCCATCGTAGAGTTAGGGTCGTTATCGCGTTCGTATGTGAGGTAGTGCTTCGCGAACGCATGGCCAGTGTCGTGTTTGCTTAGAAGAAATTGAGTTGAAGAGGAGCTGAGGTGATTGCTCTACACGATTGCATGAGGTAGGTTGCGATCGCGTAGGTCTGTGTGGCATAGGTTCACGAACGCAAGGTGATTTCCTCATTCGCATAGAGTAAAAATGTGGGGCAGCATGTTTGTGCTTCGCAATCGCGAGGCTATTTTCGCAATCGCAAAGAAGAAAATCTGGGTAGACAGTGTTATATTCAAAATCGAGGGTTTGAGCCCATTTTTCATATTTTGAGCTAGAGACCACGTATCTAGGCGATATTTGAAGGCATTTCAGGGAGTTGATTGGGGTATGTGTTCTTCACTTGATTTTGGTTAAATTCCATGATTGTATATTGATTTCTAACATCTAAATTGGGAATTGGGGTGAAAATTGGGGGGGGGGGGGGGTGGAAATGGAAGAGTTCTTGAGGAAGTAAATTGGAGATTTGAGAGACCAAATGAGGTCGGATTTTGATGAAATTGGTATGGGTAGACTTGTGAGTGAATGGGCTTTCAAGTTTTGTAATTTTTGTCGAATTTCGAGACGTGGGTCCGGGGGCCGGGTTTGAGCCGATTTCGGGTTCTTGGTCAAATTTGGTAGTTTTTCTTGTGGAAATCATTCCTTTAGCATATATTGATGGTATTGTACTGATTGTGAATAGATTCGGAGCATTTGGAGATTGAGTCGAGGGGCAAGAGCATCGCGGAGTAGAGATTTGATCGGTTTGAGGTAAGTAACGATTGTAAATCTAGTCTCGAGGGTATGAATCCTCGGATTGTGTGTCATGTGACTATCTTAAGGTGGCGCACATGCTAGGTGACGGGCGTGTGGTCGTGCACTGTTGGGGATTATGAAGTTGAATATTTTGTTAAAACTACATACTTATTACATGTTTTAGAAAGATTTCTGTAAATCAGGCTGGATGCCATGTTTAGGCCTTATGCCAGTGTTGTTTGGACCCTTAGAGGTCTTTTATTGATATTCTCTCATTGTTTTCGATTGGAAATCTATACTCAGTCATTTTTATACTTATTTACTGCATAACTCAGTCTCTATTACTCCGTTTTGATGCATCATATAAATGTTGTTTGGGCTGAATACCTTATTTTCTGAGAGCCCGAGAGGCTGGAGAGGTTATGACTGAGTGAGGCCGAGGGCCTGATTTGTGAGGATATTTATGGGATCAGGTTGTACGCCGCAACATATTTTACTGATTCATGACTGAGTGAGGCCGAGGTCCTGATTGATTTATGCCATGATTGGCTTGTTATAGCGCTTGGGCTGAAGGAGCCCATCCGGAGTCTGCACACCCCAGTGAGCGCAGGTACCTACCAAGTGCGAGTGCCTAGTGCTGAGTGTTTGGGAGGCATGAGCGATGGTGAGGTTTGCCGAGGGGATGTATATGAGAGATGGTGAGGTTTTCCCGAGGGGTTGTATACGAGAGATGTTTGCTCGAGGGGTTGTTTATGATTTCATCATTTTACTCACTTTTGCATTGAACCTTTGTTCTAAAACTCTTGAAAGATGTTTTCAAATTGATTTTACTAGAACTGGAACAAGCTGATTTGATTCAAACTATGGTTTTAATGGCATTCCGTATTTTTACTGAGCTTTTGTGATATGATCTTTACATGCATTATTGCTTGTCACTACTTCTCAGCCTTTATTACTGTTGTAACTTACTGAGTTGGCCTACTCAAGTTACTCCCTGCACCTTGTGTGCAGATCCAGGCATATCTGGACACGGTAGCAACTGTTGACTATTCCAGTTGCAGATTTTCTCGGAGATAGCAAGGTAGCTGCCTGGTGATCGCAGCCCTGCTCTTCTCCCTCTTATCTTCCTTTAGTTGTATTTAGTTATTTTCCTGACTATGTTAGTCTAGATATTGTCAGACAAATTGTAGTAGATGCTCATGACTAGTGACACCCCGATGTGGGGCTTTCTTTTCCGCACTTTTGTTTTGATTTGAACTCCTTATGAAGGTTTCATATTAAAAAGCTTTGGGATTATCTTTGAAATGAAAATGTCGATTTGTTTTGATAATGTGTCGGCTTGCCTAGTACCATGATAGGCTCCATCACGAAAGGGTTCATTTTCGGGTCGTGACAATTAAACAATCCATAGAGGTATGTATCATCCTACGTTCGAGAATACGCTGATCCAACCCCCGAATCACGGAGAACAATTCGGAGGAAGAATCAAGAGAGCAAACAGAATTGTACCCGCATCATTTTATCAATAAAATTATGATTCTTTATACTTATATTGTGGTTGCAATTTATTTTTGTATCACATATAATTTGTTGCAAACAAATTAAATTTGTTTGCAATAACTTTGGGTAGAAAAATAAAACTGCAATCACAAACAACTATAAAGAAAAAAGGATTTTACTGGTAAATATTGCGGGTTACAACTCTATTTATCCCTTGATTCTTCCCTCTGATTTATTTTACGTGATTCGAGGGCCTTAGCAGTGTATTTCTCGAACGTAGAATGATATGCATCTCCTTGATGTATTTGATGATCAAGAAGCATGTAGCAGCACTCTGTTTGGATCTTGAATGTTGCTAGAAATTTGAGCAAGACATATTTGACATGTCTTTGATCTCTTAATGAATATTCCAAGAGTTTCATGGAATTTTGGCGATCTCATATTTGATCTCTTTGTGCATATTCCGAGAGTTAATGGAATTGCTGAGATCGTCTTTGAAGGACATATGTAGCCTTATTTATAGGCATGAATTAGGGTTTGGGTGGAGTAGCCACCAAGTAATTCTAATAGACTCCTAATATTTCAAGAGTTTTCTTGAATTTGAAATTTATCTTGATCTGTTCAAATTTCAATGTCTACAGAAACTAAAAGAGAAAAAGAAAAATAAACAAATAAATCTTAACGAAAAAACTTGAAACTTGTTCTATTTTTGCTTTTCGTGACTTGAGATATAAAATATGTAATTATTAACAAGTGATACACGTGTAACACACACGTGACTAGTGACTAGTTATTTCTAAAATGATCTAGTTAGATTTCCTTGTTTCAATTCGGGAGCTTTACACGAATAGCCGGTCGGATTCAATAATTACTTTTTTTTTAGTCGTATACAAAGATTATATACTGATTGTATATGGTTAAATATATATTGTACATGGACAATGAGTATATTATATTTTTGCCGGCTATTTTTAATTTAAGCAATTGGGATGAGTGACTATTTGGATTAATTCTTTCTATCTATCTGTTTTTAGTATAGATTTTAAGTTTGTGTCATCTACTAATGATGATTAAGCCTCTTCCAAAATGAGTTTTCAAAGTCAAAGTGCACCAATGGATATACAATAAAGTTTTTACCAAACTATAATTATCAAGTCAAGATTACACTACTTTTACTAGTTATACTTGAGTCAAAGAAGCAATAGATGAGAATCAAGAACCGAGTGAAACACTAATAGAAAATGAGTAAATGATTGATTATCATAATTTAAATCTTTCAAGTTTGAATTTACTTAAATCATAACATCTAATATTTTTAAAAAGTATATTTTAATCCAGTGGTATAAAAAAAATTGCAGAGAGTGATTGACAGACTCGAATAGGCTACCCACTTTTTAGATTGATCATTCATTTCGTGTAAACATTTATATGTAATTGGTTAATATTATTGTGTAATTAAGAAACTCTTACGTAGTCAAAGAATTAAATTTAAACTTATTTTCGAATTGCTACAACCTTTTTAATCACACCCAAAAAAGTTGTTTAACTGCATTTTAAACCAATATAGCATAATGTACTAAATAACAATTTCGTGGACTATGTATTGATATTTTTAAATTGTTATATCATTCAAACGTGATCTTAAAAATCATTTAAGTCTGATTTAAAATGGAAATTTTGAGGGACTACTCATGAAATAATGGCTAGTAAATCTAAATTAAGATATACAATTAATCCACCAATTAATTTCCAATAATTTAAATTTTGACCAATTATGTCCAATATTATTCCAAGAAGGTAATTTGGTGTATTAAATGATTTCAAATATACTTAACTTGGACTAGATTGCAGGAACTAGTTTCACATTACACTAATAGCCATTTTCCCCTATATAAGAAGCCATCATCTGGTCCTTTTCCTACTGTGTACATTTCATTTGTTTCATATTTGCTTCAATGATGGCTAACTTCTTGGTATTTGTATTTGTTGGAATGTTAATGACATGCCTTCAAATAATAGGTATTTTCTCATCATCTCATAATCTTAGTTTTACTTCAAGCATTTTATTATTATCATTATATACTATTATTTTTTTAACAAGTGTGCATCATTTATATGATTTTGTACCATACACATATTTTTTTAGGTAACTTATATATGCATATATGAGTTTTAAGTATTATGCATCAATGGTGTAAAAGTTATTTATATAATCAAGTATTTTAAATGTATTTATAGGTAATATAACTGTCTTTAGTTAAAATTATTTAGTGACCTGAAAAGAATGGTATTTAACATCTTTACACTATCAGCGTGTACAACATAAATCCTATGCAGAACATGTTACATATTACTTTCAAAGGGTTTTATGATATGTCGTTCGGACTCTTCGAAAATGTCTTCATGTGCGAGTCGGATCCTCCAAAAGTACTGTATTTTTTGAAAGATCCAACACGAGTACATCGATATTTTAGAGAGTTCGCGCAACATATAGGTTTTCAGTTAGATATTTTGTTATGGTAGGTGATCTTAAAACAACTTCCTCTATTTATGGTATGATTTTTATAATGCAGATGCACAACCTCTTGGAGTCTGCTATGGGAGAAATGGTAACAACTTACCATCATCACAAGATGTTGTAAATCTTTATAAAGCTAATGGCATAACAAATATGAGAGTCTATGATCCAATTCCTGAAACACTCACTGCTCTTAAGGGAAGTAACATTAGCATTATTCTTGATATTTCCAATGACAATCTTCAACCCTTCAGTACAAATCCTAAGGCAGCTGAAAATTGGGTCATTGCCAATATTAAGAGTTATTTCCCACAAGTCAAGTTCAAATATATTAGTGTTGGCAATGAAGTATCCCCTAAAAATGTTGGGACATCTCAATTTGTTCCCTTTGTTCTTCCTGCATTGCGAAACGTGCAACAGGCGATAACGAAATTCAGAATGCAGAATCAAGTGAAGGCCACAACGACGATAGATACGGGGCTTTTGAAGAATACATATCCACCAGCTAAGTCAGTATTTAGCGACGATGTGACTAGTTTCATAAACCCGATTATCGGGTTCTTGAAACAAAATAACCTTCCTTTGCTAGCGAATGTTTATCCATACTATGGTTATATTGGCAACCCTGGTCAGGTTCCACTCCCTTATGCACTATTTACACAACAAAAGCCTGACCCAACGGGCTATCATAATCTTTTCGACGCTATGTTGGATGCAACTTATTATGCAGTTGAGAAAGCTGGTGGAGATAACGTACAAATTGTTGTTGCTGAAAGTGGATGGCCATCTGATGGTGGATTTGGAGCAAGTATGGAAAATGCTGGGACTTATTATAGGAATTTGATTAGTCATGTGAAGTTAGGTGCAGGAACTCCACACAAGCCTGGAAAAGCTATAGAAACTTATTTGTTTGCTATGTTTGATGAAAATATTAAGATAGGGGCTGAGACAGAGAAGCATTTTGGAGTTTTCCATCCTGATAAAAATCAGAAGTATAATCTTACCTTCAACTAGTATAGGATTTCAATTCTCTCTCTTGTTATTAGCTTTATATGGCACTATTTCTATTTGAAAAGTTAAATGATTCTTTTTTGAATTCGGGTCGGGCTTGAGCCAAGTCCGAGATGGTCATTCTATTTTCTTTATTTTTCAATGTCTTAAAGGGATTACATGTCCAAATGTTATTAATAAGAGTTCAAATTTGGATAATATAGACATAAGACAATCGCCTAAAATAAAAGACAGCCATAAGGTGCTTATTTCATAATAGTGAAACTTATTAAGAGGTGTGGAGAAAAGAAATATTGCTTTGTTTTATTAGGTTTGCGGGCTTGTACTTAAGTTTAATTGATCTTTGCTCATCCTATGTATTTTACTTTACGAGAATAAAAAAAATCATAGTAGGAAACGAATCTGAGTTAGTGAAGGTCGCAAAGCGCATATTAAACATCAAATAAGAAATATACACACAAAAAAGACAAGAAAAAGACACTGTATTTATATGTTAGAAGACTCAATTGGTGGAGTCACCGCTCACTGGCACCGAAGGGGCAAGGCTAGTAAGAGGGAATGTGGTTCAGTTGAATTCTTTTTAATTTATCGAAAAATAGTATTGTGCAAATAAAGTAACGATATAATTTTTAGAATAATGATAAAGGAATTCAATTGAATGCAGATTAGGTCCCTTAAATTGTATTTTTTGTTACAAAACTTAGCTCAAAGTAATAATATAAAACAAGAAGATAGACAACAATGTAGAGAGAAAGAGAGGAGAGAATCTATTTCTTCCATGTATTCAAGTGTGTACAATGTGATGCCCAAACCCTCTATTTATAGGATGATATAGGTAATACAAAGGGACTCCATAAACATGGTATTAAATATTGAGAACATGAGGGAAGATCATGGAGGTGTGGGAGTTACATCCATAATGGTAAGAAGTAGTGGGAGGTTAATGGAGAAGAGTAGTGGGTGTTACTCCCTTAGGAGTTATGGACATCCACCATAATCAAGTATTTCATAACACTCCCCCTTGGATGTCCAAAGATAATGTGCCTCGTTAAAACCTTACTAGGAAAAAACCCTGTGGGAAAAAATCTTAGTGAAGGAAAAAGAGTACACATATCTTGTAATACGCATTATTTGCTGCCTCATTAAAAACCTTGCCAGAAAAACCCAGTGGGATAAAATCTTAGCTAAGGAAAAAAGAGTACAGCGCGTATTTGCCTCCCCCTGATGAAAACATCACTTTATTCTTCGGAGACGACGAATTCCAATCTTGTATAACAACTTCTCTAATATTGAGATCCGCAATGTCTTGTGAAGAAGTTTGTCAAATTATAACTTGAACAAATTTGTTGAAGAACTTTGGTGAATGTGCTTTATTTTGTCTCCTTCGATAGTCCTTCTTTCAATTGATATAAGCAAACAACATTATCTTCAGTATTATTGGAATCTTCTCTTCAAAGTCAAGTCACAAGTCTGTTGTGTGTTGAGCCCCTTGCTTTATCAGTTGCTTATCTCGGCATGACTTGAATAAGTATCAACAATTAACTGCCTTGTAAAATGATAATTTGGCATTACCCTCACATGAAAATAGATTGTCTGAACAACGAACTATGCCCTGCATTTGTAACCAACAAAACCTTGACATATTTGTTAGAATAAACAAATCTATATCAAGGATTCCTTTTGCAATATAATACTAATCATATTTCAATATCTCCATATAGCCTTTATACTCTCAGCTGTTGGGACTATTCGTCCAAACTTCATATTTTTCAGATGAAGTCAATTTTCATTGCATATTTTCATTTGGCCAATCATTTGTCTGTCCAAATTCCATGACAGATTTGAGCACAAGATCCTCGTCAATATTAATAATATTGAGCGCTACATTATATTAACAACATCGTCGACGATCATTTTACATCGGTTCCATCATCGCATAATAAAGACATAACTTATCGAGATCTCATTATTTTCAGGTACCTGAGCCTCTCCCATGAGGTCTTATAAAATGTTATGTCACGGTGCTCTTATAAAGCATTTGCCTCCTTATTATGACCATCTTGAACATTTGCTCCTCTCCTTCTTCAAGGATTTTAGCTTTGGAACCGATTAGTCTATTACACTTCAAGAGTTCCATAGACTATGTCCATCGTGGACTTTATTCTATTTGGAGCATTAGTAGCTGAAATATGACATTTAGTTTGGGTCAGCAAATGTGCTTGGAAGTATTTTAGAAATGAATTATCACTTGAACTTCAAGTTCACATTTTCTTGTACGAGGATCTAGATGTATTTATAATAATTCATTTCACGTATCACTTTTTCAGCTGCCCATTTTCTCCCCCTAATATCGGGATCACCAACACATTTTTCAACCTTCTTTGGGAACCTATCTTTGTGCATTGTGGTGTCACAATTAAATCATATCGCACATCTATATTTCAAGATGGAAATTATTTGGTTCCTGACCCTGAACCAATTGTGACGGGGAGAATTTATCATAACTTGTTGGCTAGATGCGTACAAGTGCTGTTGTATATTAAATAATACACCTCATACCAAATTTTTATTTGGGAGTTTTGTTCTCATAACCAATGGTTTAGCTATAATTGGAGGCATACAATTTCTGCTAAACCAACTTGGAGTTAAACCAGCATTATCAAGATAAATTATCATATATATTCTGGAACTGTGCTCTAATAATTTGAGCAAACAACCTTGCAAAAACCAAAGTGCAAGTTGATAACAAACGCACATGTGACCATACAATAGATGCATCTATTAAAATCATATAATAGTAAACGATCCACATGGCAGGTGATTGGGCCCATATATATATCACCTTCTATTCGTTCCAAAAATCAAGGGATTCAGTCCCAACCTTAACTGGTATATCATGAGAATAAGCAGCACAAGAGAATCCTTGAAGAATCTTCTATTTCTTCAATATATGCCAATGTGAATTCTCAATTAATTTTCGCATCAATAAACCGGGATGGCCAACCGGTCATACCAACTAATATTTATTTCAGTAAATATTTAATTTACTATGGCATGTGATTTCATATCATGCTTATACATCTGTAGTACAAATAGAAGAAAAATCGGGTAACCTTCATATTTACCCGATATGTTATAGTAATATGGAGCTAATCGATCTTCCTTTCATTTATAGTCTCAATATGCCAACCACTTTGGCTAATACATTTGAAACTCAAAAAGTTTCTTTTGAGACTTACTACAATATCAATGTCATGAATAATTTTATTCATCCGGATAGTAACAAATTAGCTCTTCCGGAGCTCTTAATTGATTTTGTACTACAAGATCTTTTGTCACACCATCCATACGGTGAATGTCTCCTTCACGAAGAAAATCATATCATAATAATTGTCATGGTCAAAATCATCATAAGCAAAATCATTTCTTGCTTTACTTTTGCCTTTAATAACTTTTTATAAGGCATGTCAAATTATTTTTTGGCGTACCACATGTACGCGACCAATGACATATTCATGTAATCACATAGTAATGTTCATGATCTTTCTTTCTCTCAAACCTCCCGTAGAGGTGAGTTGTAGTATTTATTCAACCATGCATAAATACATTTTTGTGCATAATTTGTTTCACATATATATTTTCACACTCGCTTCAGGAATGAGTATGCATTTACAATGCTTATCACAAGTCTCATTTTTTCAAAAAAAATGGACTATAATCGTCTGAACGTGCCTTATATTTACACACCAAATTGATACACATTTCCTTCACCTTTGAAGGATATTTTGAGAACCCTTATTGTTCTCATTTTACAATTACCATAATGATGACTATTATTATTTGATCTTTGGCACGCCCACGTTCATTTATCAACCACTTGTCTTCATTTAGATTTATTATGCATCGCTATCACATTCACTTCAAGAATGGAGCAAATCAAGTGGGACAAGCTTCATGCTTTTTCATGAAAAATACATTATTTTTCATTAGTCATCATTATATCATCAATATGGTGCATTGGGACTCAAACCCACTGCCTTATCCATATAAAAGCATGTTAGTTTATAATAAATTGGGACTCAAACCCAATACCATGACCTTATCATCAGGGTGCACCAGGGCTCAAACCCGATGTCTTATCCTCAACCAATGGCATAATAGGCTAAAGCGTGCTGAGGCTCACCCTTGAGCATTTAAAATATTAATTTCACACCACTGTTCATATATTTATTACAATTCAGTAAGCAATAATACTTGTATTATGCATGCAATTGTAGAAACTAACAAAATTATATTCATCAAGCATGAACAAAATTGAAAGCTTTGCTAAGTTTGGCTAGATATTCCTGAAGGTTCAAAAGAATATCTTTTCATGAAATAATATAAATATCTAAGCATGTATATATTTGTTCAACCCATTAGCAACTTAATTATGCTAACCCAATATTTCTATGAAGGTTACAAGTGATTTAAATTCCAACAAGTAATATGGTACACCAACATATTCATGTGACATAAGTAATATAAATTAGTAAGTCACTTTATCAGATTGAAACTATTTTGCTCAAATCTATTTGGCATGTTAATTTCATAGAAACTCAAGGAGAGAGTAAATATTACATGCTCATTTGCTGAATCAAATATAACATATAGAGGTATGAGTGCACCAAAAATAATATAAATATTATAACTCCTGGATCTCTAAAGAAAGAAAGGTTTACCACAATACTATCAAGAGAATATATGTACCATCTTGGTGTAGCAATTGTCTAGTACATACTACACCTTCGTGGAAAAACTTGTCTATCCCTGCTATGTACTGTGTGGTTCCAGTTAGCCATTTAAAAATAAAAGTATTCTTTTCGGAAACATCCCATAAATCACTTGCAAGAAGTGAAATTCAACTTTAGTAAAATTGGAGAAGTCGTGCTGATAACGTGTTATAAAACTTAGCTCAAAGTAATAATGTAAAACAAGAAGATAGACAACAATGTAGAGAGAAA